GTTTTTTTTGGGGGGGGGCGGGGGGGGGGGGGGGGACTTGTGTTTACATAGTGAGGTCAGAGGTCATATAACGGTACTTGTAGTACTGTTAATATTACTACACGCTTGCTTTTATTGAATTAACAACATTTGGAGCTGGCATTGTTATCTAGATGGACTGCAACGTAAATGTAAATATATGCCCATATAAGTCACCTCTTACAATAACTTGCAGTAGGGTTAAGTAGCTGTAGGTACATAATTATGTCACATGATGTCTTAATTTAATCACATAATAATCCTTTTTATCTCCAAGTGACCAAGACGTTTACTGGTCACTTAAGTGGGAGGGGGGAAATCATGTAAGTTAAGTATAGCATATATGTGTATTAGACATTTGTAACAAAATCCCAGTGCCTTAATGTGTAGGTTTATGTTTGGTGTGACCCATATCAGTATATAGCATATTTAATTTGTGTAGAGGAACTGGACTGTGTCGATCGTCCGTGACCAGTTAGCTCTATTGGTAGAGCGTCCGTCTAAAGTTTGGAGGGTCCCGGGTTCGAACCCCGGTCTGCCCCTTTCATTTTATCTTTCTCCTGTAACATGTGTATTAGACATTTGTAACAAACTCCTGTGAGACAAGTGACTGTAGTACTAATATAAATACCCAGCCTCCTCAGACACAATTTTTGCATAATTTTTTTTTTTCGTTGTCAGAAGCGTTGTTATCAGGTCCAGTACACTCTGCCGATTGAGCTATATAGCTGTAAAGACCTATATAATAGCTCTATTGACCTATATCTGAAATAGCCGTCTTTTGAGCTATTTTTATATGATTTTCTTTTTTAAGGAAAACAAAACAAAGTCGCTTTTAAAAGAAGATTTTATCATTAGGTTGATAATAAAAGACAGTAAATATAGGTATCCTTTTTAAAAAATAATGCTGTAATTTTTTTTTTATGAAAATGCTTTTTGTAGTCAACAATAACATAAACCTTATTGTTTTATGCGACTTTGCTTTAATTTAATGAGAATAAAAAATCAGAGAAAACATATAGCTCAACACAGCTACAATGTATAATTTATAGGTGAATATAGCTATATAGGTCTTTATAGCTAGGTAGCGGGGGGCATTTATTGATGTATGTTTTATGACGGCTAGCTCAAGCTGACAATGCAAAATAAGCATTGGTGTGCTTGATTTGGTGTGTGTATTAGGTTAATGTTGTGTCTGAAGTCAGTGTAACTGTGTTACCTGACCTTTGTTGTGCTGTTCTGTACACGTGTCCTATCTGTCTGTGGGCAATGCTATTTCTCGAGCTTGTGCAGTGTAATCCTGTCGGGTGCTTCTTGCTTTCTCGTCTGTGTCTATAGTCTGTTTACTTAAGCTTGTAAACCTCTGTTGTGATTGGTCCATCGTTTCGTATTGTTAACTTTGAGTGCATAAGTTGGAGTGTTCGTCTTATGTGGATGCAGAGCGCTGGATTAACTTCCTGGGGTTCATCTCTGCAGTAGGTATATTTTTAGGGACTTAATTTAGATGTAGATATAGTGTTAGGATGGGAAAGGGGGGGTGGGGGGTAGTTTCGTTAGGGTTAGATTTGTGTAGGTATAATTTAATAGGCCTANCCCCCCCTCGCTCATGTTACAGCTATATAACTCAATCGGCAGAGAGTGTACTGGACCTGGTTGTCACAGCTAAAGTGACTGCAGACATATAATAAATAAGTATAGTTACGAATCATTTCAACTTTTCAACCCTTTCATCACATTTTCTAATGACACTGTCACATATTGAGTTGAAGAACGTTACGGTAACCATTGGTTTAAACAGCTGCCAACATAACTGTTGTCATCACCATATCTGTATCAGCTTATTACGGCTGCTGAAGAGCAGACACATGAAACTGAAAGGATTCTTACCTAAAAAATACTGCATGAATTTTACATTAAAATACGAAAGGAAGTAACTAGTGTCACTTCATTGCAAGTGTGTATGAATCATTTTCTTACTTTACCTGAACACAAGCGCACCTCTTCGTCTGGTATAGTTTTCTATGCGATACGGGTCTTATTGTGTCGCCATTTTGACATTAGAAGAAAAATAAAGGTTATCACGTGACTTGATGCAGACGATTTTTTTTAGAATAAATCAATCATACAAATATTCAGGAGCTCGATCAATTTACATTTAAAACGTGATTCGATAGAGCAGAGTGCCATGGAATTAAAATTTAAACGTACGATTTCAGTACGATTGAAACCCTGTGTTTAGATTTTACCATGTGTTCAATAGCCCATGCACATGTTTTGATCATTTAAAACAAGTAAATTGTATTACCTATTGTTAAAGGAAAACAAAATAGCTTGAAGATTGAGCATAGTATATTCCAATTGCTTATTGATATTTGAAATAAAAGAAAACACGATGTAAAATATGGAATACAAACATCGGGCAGTTGAATATGTGGTAAATAAATATGATAGCAGACGAGTAGCAAGGTGCTCGAAAATGGCGACAGCTCGACAGCGTGAACAAACTTCAAAAAAAGCGTCGAAAGAGAAAGTAACGAAAGGTATAACGTCAACTGCGTGTGAACTAGAACTGAGATGTTTCTTGGGATGTACAAGGCAATAGTATAAAACATTCCGATAGATACTTATCGTTGAGTGGTCTGCGTCGGCTGCTAAAACTGTAAACATTTCATACATTGTTGCAAATTGTAACTTTTTGTACAGTAACGGGAACATAACATGTAATTTCAACATTGTATTTCATTGTTGAGATAGTTAATGTAACAAATTACAGCAGTTAGATTGAGATTGGCGCTGACAGTTTTGGAAATCCACGTTTTAAAACCAGTTTGTCGTATGAAAATGCATGGCAGACGCTACCAATATGGCGGCAAAGACTCGACAATGTTGTCTGCTTCCAGCATGCGACTTTTCATGGTCCTTTTAAATCCAATTACTAGGATGTCATTTTATTGTAATTGTTACATTTGTAAAATAAAATGCTGCATATGGTTGATCGTGCGGAATTTGTCAGTTGAAATTGCCTTTATATTGGTTTTACGGTATTATGCTATACCCTGCTATATTCTATATTTTACTATCGGTCGATAGCCCTATCGATGTGCCTTTACATTTGAAAGGTTCGCGGGAAATGTGTATCTTAATAACAATGTTTATTATAATATATTTTCCTATAGTTTTGAAGTATGTTTGTAATTGATTTTTTTTATGTATTGACAATGTTGCGATTTTTAGGGGTGAATGTGATTTCAATATGAAGAGGTTTTTTAAATTCTAAAATTTAGGTATGTTTAATTGATTTTGAAAATCATAGTAATTAGAATAATACAGAAACTCCGATTGTAAAATGTAAACATTTTTCAACATTTTAGTTATAGGAGATTACTATATATGGATGACTGACTGAGAAATTTAAAAACAGTTATTTTTTCTGGGTCTGACAGGTTTTGGCAAACAATCAATATTTCATTGTCATATTATAGGCCTAATTGATTTTTGGTGATTTACAATAATGGAAGCCTCAATATCTAATTTAAAAGGCATATCTTGGGAGTGGGGGCAATGGTGTCCTGTCCTCTCCTCCCCCACATTCCCAATAGGCTTCACCACTGGAAACCCCACCTCTCTCTCAAACCCTGGATCTGTACCTGTAATTTATGACCATGTTTTCCCCCACCTTGATTTAATTTGAGCATCGTCTACCTTCACGACCTGGGAAAATATAGCTATTGAACATAAACATACGTCACTAGCCCCAATATGCAGGTTAATATGCCTGTAACTTAACACTAGTCCAGGCTAGCTTAAATATCTCTGGCTAATGAACTTTTACACGTCTGCAGTATAACTTTCTTGACTGATAAATGTGGCACATTGTTTTGATTTACCACCAAGTTAAATTAAATCAATCGTTTAATTTGTTTTTTCTATTTTTATCAGTTTCACCTCACAGTTTGAGAACAAGACGTTCATCACTAAGAATAGAAGATGAAGAAGATGCAAACGACCCTTCCGGGTGCATGTCTTTGGACGTACTTGCACAGGTCGCATCTGCTACTCTTCAGAAAGAACCAAAGAAAAAAAAGGTATTTATTGATGAACTAAGGCTTTAAAATAAATATTTGTGTGCATTCATTTTATTACTCTGTAAAATATAAGTCAGACATGAGGAAGATGATGTTTCCCAAAATACCTAGAAAATCCCCGGTTCTACATTTTTGTCTTTCGGTAAATTTCCCTTGGCTTCTAAATCATTTTGAAAGAAGTTGTTACAATTGTGTTTTACATTGTTCGTTGTAGCTAAGAAAACGGAGTCTTCAGACGTTGGAGTTGCTAGACTTGGACCAGATCCAAAGTCTGTCTGACAAGGCACTTCTCAGTTTCTTCTCTGAAATGAAATCAAATGAAATAACACGTAATTTCACATACACCTGCTACTTGATGCCTAAAAAATGCCAGGAACAGTTCAAAAGTTTTGGAAATGAAACTCAAGCCAGGATGAGGATGAGAAACCACCTCCACAAACACATAGAGAAGCTCATTGAAGAGTTTAATGGTAACAGTTCCTGATTAGTATTAATATTAATGCCATTTTAATTTCAAATTGAAGCAAAAGAGATGTTAGTGGACTACAGCAGGAATTACATATTGCAATAAGTAATCATTTTGTTGGTAAATTGAAGCTTCTGTAGGAACAGATTCCAAAATATATCCAGAAAAGGTTCTGATATGTACCTAACATCCTCCAATTCTTAAAACAATCATAGGTGCATATAGAAATCTGCTTATGCGATCACTTCTGTTAAGAGAGCCACCTATATATATATATTTGTTAAGAGACTTCTTTTGATGTTCTCCATTGAAGTACAATACAATTCCTCCGGATCATACATTGTACGACCTAATAACTGTCACAGAGGTCATTCTAACATAATTATCACAGAATGTTAAATGCTATTGTGATATTTATTTTTAGATTCCAACATTAAAGGGAAGTATGTGTTTCAAGCAGAACCTATCCACGTAAGGAACAAGAGGATATCAGGTGTGTTTTCATACTTTCTCACCATTAGTGAAGGAGCATTTGCTAGGTGTTGCCTGTTCTGTTCTGTCTTTCCATCTGTCTATTTGCTAAATGGTTGGTTGATGAGTTTACAGTCCACACTTCACTGACAAAGTCTGTGTTCGGTCGACTTGAGGGGGTAATTTAGTGCTTACAGGGCCCTCGGTGATTCAAAAGTCCTGCCCATCCAGGTCACACTCTGAGGTCGGACAGCTCCTCAAGTGCGGACAGGCTGTCGCAGCGGCTGTGGTCCATGGATCGATGTCCTTCTAGTAGTCCCCGCTGCCCTCTATGAGACACATGTTTGAGACTTTAAGTATGTCAGGATGTCAATAACAAGCTATGCTGAAACACTGCTGATGCAAGGATGAGCTTGGTGCTACGTTTCACCCTTTATACACACAGAATTTCTGTTACTGCCCAAATTATACAATGCTTATGTTATTTGGAGGGTCGGTCATACCTGCCCTAGTCATTCACGGGTGATGTAGTCTGGCAAAACATCCCATTTAAATTTTGAAAAATGGGCAAGTATGGTCTGAAAGCCAGGGGGAATATGCTTCAAATATACTAAGACAGGCAAAATTGTGTGCAAGTGTAAACCAACCCATAAAAGCTGTTTGAAATTGAAAATAAATAAGATTGATCATTGTCATACTTGTTCCTGATAAAAAAACAGAACATACATAACGAATGGTTTCTGTTGTAAACATGATTTTTAAAGAAAAATAATAATTTAACAATTGACACTTTGAACTAATTTTTCAGTGCTCTCAAGCAAAAAGAAGCCTGGAGGCAAGCGAACAAAATTCACAGCATTAAAGCAACGTGGTGAAAACAGTTCAGACACAGAGGAAGCAATCTCAAAAGGAAAGCTGAGTGGTGAACAAACATCTTTTGATCTGGAATGTGAGGAAATGGCAGAGTTCTCAGATGATGATGATGATGATGATGATGAATATGATGAAAATAGTGTGTCTTCTCCAGGTAAAAAGAGCAGATTTTCTCAAAAGCAGGCCAATTTTCATCCTTCAAAGTCCCCATATCGACATAGTACAAGGGGAAAATCATTCAATAAAAGATCTGTAGAAGATGTTAGAAATTCTGAACAAGATGACACTGAACGTCGAATGGAGGAGAATGAGCAGTTCATCATTGACCTCCTTAGTCGGACCCAGCCACACCATGATCACTGCTACACAACCATATTCGGTAAAAAAAGAGGAATTGATGATATCGTATTCCATGACACCTCTGATGAGGATACGGAAGAAGATGACATTGGTGACCATATTCGTGCATATGGAAAGAAGATCATTCGACCAGAGAAAGGAGTTGAGCCTATACTTTGTCTGGGCAATGTGTCGGTTATGGACGAGTTGACAGGAACAGGGACAGATGAAGCATCAAAGACTATTATTGTGTGTTCAGAGGAGATCATTGACGACCTCCTGCCCGACGATTACCAAGGACACAACGGCAAAAGTCAGTTTTAGGTTTTATTGCTTCACATATTATACAGGATCTTATATAAAGGATTAAAAAAAATGTTTGCTTATCTATGATGGTAAAAAATGAAAACGTTTCGGGTCAAGGGTCAACTTTTAACTTAAAGGACATTTGGTTTTTGAAAATTATCTTTTAGATACAAAATAGGATTTTAATGATTTTGCCATTTCAAATAGGATTTCATATGAACATTTAATTAAGACTTTTCATTTTAGTGAGGCTTTAGATCTGAGTAAAGATGAAAACATTTCATCATCAATTGTATATTATAGAAACGGGAACTTATTTTTTGATCCATTTATCACATTACCAATTGCAAGATTTATTTTTTGAAAACTTAAACTTAGGTGGGCTTGGATTTTATTTAACCAATGTAATGTCATTACTCAAGTGTTACCATGTTGATACTGTGTTTATTGCCTTCAATGACATTAAGGCTTGTGTGTTGTCTTCATTTTGACATCACCGTGGGTGGTGTTGCATGAGGCAATATTAAAACAATATGACAGGATGGCAGAAGCCTGTAATCAAGTGACAACTTATTAAACAAAAATGGTTTACAACTCGTGCCAACCATGTCCTTTTCAAGTCAAGATAACGAAAGAAAAAGGAACTGCCAAAATACTGATCTACAAATGAATGTGATCAAACATTATGTATATTGGTAATAAACAGGTCAGCATTGCCAATGGGTGTAATATTGATGCTTTGGTGATTTTACAGTGATAGTAATTGGTATTTTATGTTTTGATGGGAACTAGATAGTAATTGGTATTCTATGTTTTGATGGGAACGATTTGTTGCATGTTTGTAATTACATTTCTACTCGTTGTCTACCTTAGGACCCTACCCACCAATGCCTAAGTATGCCATTGCCAAGCGAGGACGTGTGCATGTCCCAGAGGAGTACGACCCCATCAGTGAGGAGGAGGAACCACTCATGTCTAACCCCAAGAGAAGGAAGAAGGGCATGGTCACGAGCCATCAGGATCGGGAAATCAATGTGGAATGGGAAAGGGTAAATTATTTTACATTCAGACCATTGTAAAGCATATTGTTGATATCATTATTGCACCAAATTTTCAGCCTTTGGCCAGTGTTTCTTCTTGTATGTTTAGATGGTGCTGCTAACTTTAATATTGTATAATCCTGGTTCAATGCTAAATATATAAAAAAAAAAATCAAAAAAACCTCAGCTGGAGATCGTTGGTCTTTTTCAGTCCAGACTAACGACTTTGAATTTTCTTTCAATAATTCCATCGTAAAATATGCTCAAAATTTTACTTTCAAAGATGAAGTTTTGATTGATTCGTGAATTGAAAATGAGGATCCACAATACAGACCCCATTAGCCTACTGTAGCTTTTTCGGTTAAAGAATGTTGTCGAGATCATACATTTTGTAACTGACAAATTAAATACACAGTGTCAGCTGTATTCAGTTTATCTTGTAATGTGAAGTACTGAAAGAATAAAACTAACTGAAGTAATTGTTTTCATTACCTTCAATTTGTTTTTTACAGAAATTGGCATTGAAATGCATCAGAGAGCTGAAGCTGAAGAAGAAAGAGGACCGATCTCCTCTCCACTGTAGGATTTGTAAGGACAAAAAGTTCACAGCCAGCGCTACCCTTATGTACCACTACCGAAGTCATGCAGGTAACTCTAATGACAACACAATCATGTTTTTAGTCGAACATCATAATGATCGTGGGCTATTCGAGTAGCCTTTTTGTCCAACTATTACTGTTGCCGCTATTTCTCCAGAAGTTTTGGATGGATCTTTATATCAAATTTCATTAGACTTAAATTGTGCATTATCAGCTTTATTTTGTCGTGATTGAAAATGACTGAATATCACAGTACTTGTCAGTGTTGTAACATCTGCTTAATGGTTCTGTAAAATCTTTACTAAGTGCTGAGGTCAGCTATTTAGAAACATTTGATGGATTATTTTAAAGAAACAGTTAGAAATAAATGTCCCTGTTTAGAACATGGCTATTTGCAAAGGTACAGCTGCATTTAGACAAATTCTACTGTTATTTTACCATGTCACCAGCAATGATGGACTCATTATGCTACATTTTGTATTAATACGTACACCAGACAAAGAATCAATTTTGTTCTTAACTTAAGTATCATTTGAAAGCATTCTGATGAGGGTCAGTATATTGTGCTGGAAGCAAACCTATATATACTATGTCAATGTAAAGACCAGATATACCAACTTCATCACATATGCCTGCATTGGACCATATATAATTGAGCTGTGGTGATTACTCTGAACTTGATGTTTGTTTCAGGTATCAAGCCATTTGTGTGCCTTATATGCAATACGACGTTCACCCGCCAACACAGCCTTAACTACCACATGTTGATCCATAACAACCAGAGCAGGTTTACTTGTAAAGACTGTGGCAGAAAGTTCAGACATCCAAGTCACTTCAAGGTTTGTTATTTATGTGTAAATATGAAATCAATACTATGAAAGAATGTTCAGATATCCAAGTCACTTCAAGGTTTGTTAGTCCCCCACCGGTTCCGAGGGGGGTTGCAGTCTGTCATGACGTCCAAGAAGTTTGTCCGGGACATATTTTCTATGGAGTAACCAGATTTAGTGTTTACGTAAATGTGACCTATGACTTGACCTTTGACCCTTACTTTTAAAACTGTTTGTCCGAGGCATATCCTCTATACTATTTCCCCTGGAGTAAATACCGAAAATTGGCGGGTAAAGTGTGCACTCGGGTAAAGTGTGCAGGTACGTTTTTGGGGTCAGATTTGCGGGGGGAAATGGGGAAAAAATGAAAGTAAGCGGTATCAAACTGGAAAAGTAGCATCAAAGGTAGCTTGGTGTTTAAAACGCTGATTAATTAACGATTGATTTATTAGAGTGATCAGACCCATGAAGGTCTCCCTCCGTACCTCTTGGAACGAGTGGATGATCGACGAATCCTGCAGAAATCAAACGAAGAAAGTGTAGTTAATTCTGATGCCAGAGAATCGCCGATCCACTTATGTCTTGACATCTCAGCGGTTTTCCCATAATGACAAAAATGTAGTGTTTCAATTATAGGCTCCGTTCCATGTTAGTTAGTTCTGGGTTTCTTCCAAAAAATGATGCATTTGGTCCAGGAAGCCATGCTTTGTTGATACTGTGTATTGGTTGATACAAATTTCAGAATGGCAATATTAACGAACTGACATTGACAGAAAGATTTGATATGAAAAAAATATAAATTTGAAAACGATTTCCTTCTCTGTAATAACTCATAAATGTGTTCTAAAATGTATTCATAATTTGCTACATCAGTGCACACTATAGATATAATTGATTTGGTACAAACACTATATTTCGTTTAACATTGAAATCTGCAAAATACACAACCGGTTAAAAGCATGGTGTTCTTTCAGCAACAGAACGATGTTTTGTTTAAAATTAAGCCATCTAGATATCTTCATATTTTGTTATGTTTACATCATATTCAATAATTATGTGTTATAATATTCATTTTTAATTCACTCATGAATACATAATTCTAGGTAAAAATTGTGTTGTTTTTATATCTTCAATCTATCATATATGACCAATGAATCCAAACAAAACTATTTGAAGGGAGGTAATCCAATATGGCGGACCTGAGACTTGTTCCTGTGCACCCCCTTTTTGACATGGCAATATTTACCTAAAAAAGTGTGCACTGTACGCCCAAATTTACTGTAACCAGATTTGGTGTACACAAACTTCTTGGGATGACTGAGTGCAGAATGGAAGAATTGGGTCACTGTGACCTCTTATCTTTACTTTTGAAAATGTTTGGCAGGGGCATATCTTTTTTAATATTTCTAATTGAGTAACCAGATTTGGTGTACAAGGACATCTTAGGATGACGGAGTGCAGAGTGCAAGAATTAGGTCATTGTGATCTATGACTTGACCTTTGACTTTCACTTTTGAAAATGTTTATCGGGGGCTTATCTTCTATACTATTTCACCTCGAGTAACCAGGTTTGGTGAACAAGGATATCTTAGGATGGTAGAGTGGAAGAAGTATGTATCAGGATACTTCCCTAACAGTAGGTACATCCTGACATAAGTGTACTGTTTGTTAAATATAGAAATCATTGCCGGTGGGGGACTATGGATTGCTTTGCAATACTTTGCCTTGTTATTTATGTGTAAATATGAAAACAAGACTGTGACAGATTGTTCAGATATCCAAATCACTTCAAGGTTTGCTATTTATGTGTAAATGTGAAAAATAAGATTGACATAATGTTCCGACATCCTAGTCACCTCTATCAAGGTTTGTTATTTATTTGTAAATATGAAAGCCAACAAATATTAAATTTTAATTTCTGCAAGTGATCACCAGATATGTGAACAGTGTTGCTATGGTATTTTTCTTAAGATAAAATCATGAACAAGATTTGCCTGTGGAGTAATATTGTATATAATTTCTTTTTGGTTTTAAAAACTTTACTGCAGAGAAATGGATACACCAGTACAGATACACTGACACTCTTTATTTATACTGTATATGCTTTGTCTTGTTTCAGGAACACCTGCGAAGACATACAGGAGAGACACCCTTTGTGTGTACAGATTGCCCTCAGAAATTCAAAACAAGAAACACGTACAAGAGACATTTAAAGACGAGACATGGGAAACTGCTGACAGCAGCTGGTATTCGGATTCTGAGTGTAGAAGAGTTCGCAAAAATTCGGACAAAACCTTATAGAAGGAATGCTTCAGAGAAGAAGTCAAAAATCTTGTGTCGTAATCTTGACGCTCGTGTTAAAACAGAGCCTGTGGAGGCTGATGTTAGCAAAGGCAAGGTTGTTGTTAAATCTGAATCAGTTGAGCACCAATCCCCTGACAGTGCTGACAATGATGAGGAAGAGGAGGAGGAAGAAGAGGAGGAAGAGACAGATAGTGAAGAAGGCCAGGTAGATCATGAGGAGAACTCGAGTCACGAGCCAGAACCCTACTTCGTACCTATTAGTATTGTTGTAAACACATGATTCCTTGATCTTCAGCAGTAACATGGTGATGCGCCATTGGCTTCACAGCCATAATTAACATATGCAAATAGATGGTCTCAAGCTCATAAACTTGTAATTGCAATAATCACAATTTTAGATAAGACATGACATTACATTATGAAATAAATGAGGCAGGGATTTGTGTTGTGTATTAGAGTATAAATTAATACATTTTATGTAGCCCTGTGGAAAATTGATCGTAATGTTTATATTGATCTGCAGGTATTGAAATATGAATTTGAAAACTACTGTAGATGACTTACGTTTTGCACTTACTTAACTTTTCAAACCTTTTGCTTATTTGTGAGGACATAATCATCATCCAATTAGCATCTTATCTTATTTATAGATAATTGTTCGGGTGACACTGGAATAAGCAATGAATGCTTTATGCGAAACTGCTAAAAATAATCGTGGAAAATTCAGAGTATAGACATCTGCATTATAATCAGTCTTTTAGAGTAACAAAATGTATTTTTAAATATTAACAGATATTGTTGCATTGTTTTAACTTATTCACATGAAAAAGTCCCTGAATGGAAAATGTAGAATCACTCAATTCTCAAAAAAATGCCATGCCAAATAGAAAACATTCTAGCTGTGAAGTATTGAAATATCTGTTTTCATCATTTGATATGACAATTTTTCCTAAATTTCTTATTAAAGAACATCGATTTTGTACCTTTCCAGCAGACATCATGATTATATACATGTACCAGTGGATAAAATGTGAAATGTGGAGTGCTAAGAGATGGCAGCAAATATTGTTGACAGTTTAAACTTTGTTCTATTGCCACTATGTGTCCAAAGATTTTTTTTCTTCAAAGGACGCAAATGTATTAATAATTAGGAAGATGTAAAGGAATTGTGATAAAAAGTGCTTTTCAAGACAATTTTAGACATTGCAAGATGGTTCTCTCTCAGAAAATAATTTGAAAGGTTGGCAGTGCAAATTAACTTATCTTGTTAATGTTAATTAAAAATATTCAAATGACAAAGAATCTCTTTCTGTTAGGAACAAAGAAGTTTGTTAGGAGCCGAATCGCTATGATTTAAGAAATTGCATGATTTACCATAATATCTGTCAATTTAGTATATATGATTTAAATTGACTGGCAAGTTGTACATGTAGGGTATTTCAAGTCCTTGTAATTGAACTTTACTTTCACACATTTATTTATGTATGAATTCATGATCAAGAAGAGCAGTAAATGAAAACTGGAATAATGGTGAACAATGGAATTTTTGTCCAGACAAACAATTAATATTGACATTATATATACATGATTTATATGTTTACATCAACTGTTCTGAGAAATCTCTTTTTATAATTCATACTTAAATTGTTTGAGTTGAAATCATGTGCAATAATAATATTTACTCAGTCATCCTTCAATTCAGAAAGAAAAAAGTGGGAGTTCTCCCCCTTCAATCAGTGTTTCGTGTACCGTTCTAGTGGCGTTCATGAGTTGAAATTTAATATACAGTTTCTATTTTAAAACTGCTGGTATACATAATAAAAATTAAAATACTTAAATAATCAAAGTATAAATTTGTATAAATAGAGAGATTCTTAAAGGGGGAGACAGAGTAAGTGGGGCAATTTAGAGAGAGAAAAGCTTTAAAAAGGGGAGTTAATTTTCCCAAAGTGGAGAATCGTTCTTTGAGGGTGAAACACTTTAAAGAAAAAGAATGGGGAGTCTTTTTGAAGGGGATTTTTGTCATTCTTTTTTTTGTAAAATGACTGGTTTCATTACTTTGATACTTAAATATTTTGACCAAAATTGTTTTATATAATTGTATAAAGATCGAAATGGTTTCATCACACTGTTACTTGTATCATATTGACCAATGTTGTATAAATACAGTGTGTATAAAGTTGTACAGTAAAGAACATGAATTGTTTAATTTGACCAACATTTTATATATTGTATATAGTTGTACAGTCATGATGTTCTGCGTCAGAAGTGCCATTATATTAGGTTACATTTGTTTATACAAAACTTTAATACCTGAGGACATGGTAGATGTAATTTTATGTATATCTTAACTAAAGAAAAGTATGATTTATGATGGCAAGTCATGACTCTCTTCATCCTTTGTTAGGGTAAAAATATCCTCATATTGTATAATTATTGAAAGATTTGACCATTCAATAGTTAGATTCTCAGATTTTTATGAAGAAAATTTCTGACACCATTATATCCAGATTGATTAGGTCTTCATGATACATTTAGATAAAAATAGAATCAAAGAAATTAATATGGAAAAAAGTCAACTTGTAGCAGGATTCAAATTGATTGCTCTACGTTAGACAGCTTTCAAATGTTGGAATGGCCAACTGTATAAAAAGCCTTTTGAGATATCAGAGTATAGTTGAGAAAAAAACACCTGGGCAGTTATGTTAAAAGCACAGAGAATTTGTTGAGATCACTCTGACTATTCTAAAAATTGTCATTGAAGGAATTATCTGAAGATCTTGTTTACAAGGATTTTAATATGTCATTAAAAACTTGTTGATAACAGTTTCAAAAATGAATACTGACATTCACTTGTAAAAAGCTAGTAAAGCTTACTGGACGACTTGGCCTCACTTTTTCATATTCAGATTTTTTAAGATTCTTGATTCTTGGATCATCCAAGGGCAATGTCCTCATTTGTAAAATCATCACAAAATGACTCTTTCTCTCTGGTCCTCACATATTGTGAATAAGATCTGTGGAACTATTTCCTGATAGTCTGAACAAAGTAATTTACTGTAGTATTTTTGTCCTCATGCTGTGCATGTAGATATAGGTGCAATTAACTTTGTTGTTGGAAGAGTGAATTCAATCACTCAAAACTAAAAATTCACTCCCACCCAACTTTGTTCCATTGACATCCGATTACTCTAGTTATATCTTAATGAAGGTTGGCAGTCCTGTGAGCCTGCTATGTTTATTGCATAGCGCACGTGTAATATGTACAAATTATTTTGCTTAGTTATAGCAACATTTCATTAAAAATTAAGAATATCAAGTCTTTCAGTGAATGATCACACAGTTTTTAATGTGTACTGGTATAGGTATGGATAGCTTTGTCATAAGCTCATTTTTTTTCGGTGTGTTTTGACTTTTTCAAAGAAGGAAGAAATGACAGCATATTGAAATTTTGATGTTAGAAAGCATTCATAAGGAAAGCTAGGGTTATTTTATTTTGTAAAAGTGAAAGATGCAAGATAATTTTAAGGGGATATTTTCATAAAAGTTTTAGATTTTGGGATTAGTCTTCATCAAATTAAGAAGAAAATGTTTATACTGAGATATAAAGACAGAAAGTATTAATTCTTTAGAATGAGTTCCCATTGATTTTCAGTATATTAGACTTGTCCTTGTGAATAAAAATAGCTTAATATGAAGCAATCTTGTGCTTTGAATTCTAGGTTAATTTTAGGCAGTACCAAGGCAATGCAGTTTCTGTTCTTGGTTACGGGACAAATATAAACATGCTACAGACTTGGCTGGATCATATAACATACACATTAAAAAACACTAAATGAACCAGATAAATAGTGAAAGTTGTTTACCTTTTTATGTCCATTTGTTTTGTAAATTTCTGTGTCCTTTTGTTTGTTACTGAACATATTCAGTAAAACTTCATAGACTTATCAACCAGCACTTGACAGACCTCACAAATTGAGATCAAATTAAAGTCACATTTTAGTTGTTCTTAACTGATCAAAAAAATGAATCTTTACATGTATATCACTAGTAAATATTTGTGTCTGCTATAATTCCTGCTTGTAAGATTGCTTCATAACTCACCTTTTGTCAGGACTTTGTTAGGACTCAATGATTTTTTGATTTTTTTTCATTGACAATCTTAAGTTGAAATCTGAATTTGTTCATAGGTATTTTTTTGTCTCATTTGGAGTAATCATTTGTTTAATAATTGAAGTGCAAATCACAGAAAATCTCCCTGGCAAAATATCTTTTTTTATGAACATCAGTTAAATTTTTAATGAAATGTAGATAGACATAGAATTAGGAGAATACTCCATAGAATTAGGAGAATACCAGAGTCTAAATAAGACAAAGTATTGCCATTCACTCTCCTGTATATCGGACAAGGTTTTGATTCAAGGCAGGTTCTAGAATACACTGTATTGGTCTTGAAAGGTTGTACCCATTATTTAATATTTGTGATCTGTTGTGCTATTTTATTTCATGTTTGAATATTTAAATGATTATCATCAAAGCATTTTCTGCTTCTGTTCCGTGAAGAAACCCTATTTTGTTGTTTATGTACACTAATTCTGATGTCGTCTAAATGACCAGGCATGATGCAGTGTAAAATATGAAATTCTGTTATAGGTTTAATGAACTTGATGACAGTGATCTAAATTTTGTATATAAGATTATGTACTTGTGACAAAGTCCTTGTCCATGCAGGCATGAAATCAATGTTTTGTATTCCCCTGGATGTTTATACGACATTTTACCATATAATACTGCAGTCTTGTAGATCAAGTTGAGCTGTGATCTGTTGTTAATATTTGTTGACTGTTGAACTACATAGTAGTTGTAGCTATATTCATTTGTTAAGCAGCTACCAAACACAGGAGCTGAAGGGGATGACGTTCAGCAGGGACTAAAGCAACCTGTAATGTTGTTTATAATACCGGTACCTAATAATCTTTTCTTAAATTCCATAATAATGTCTCACCACAACCACAATATTTTGTTTACATCTTTTTCTATAGGATTAAAGAAAAAACTTTATGCTAGAAATAAAATGTTGGTACCCCGGTACATTGATTGGTAATATAAATAGCGTTTTGATTAAAAATAATATAAGATATATTCAAGGTATGAACATCTGTTCCTGATGAGTGGTGAACCCCTTTGTCGAATTTAAAGAAAAAAAATCCTTACAGGGATGTAATAATGGTGACCATGTTGACAGATAAATAATTATCATTTGTTAACATGTACAACCTACCATTTTTCCTGGTTGGCAAGTGGTTTAATCGTTTTCCTAGTTATGAATCAATTTTAACTTTGTAGGTATTAAGATCTGACAATGTTCGACCAATAAATGTATATATACTGTTCCTGTTTCATTTCTGGCACATTCACCCTTGAATGAGAGGCCAAATTGAACATAACATGAATAATGTGTATCTAAATTTAAGATTTTTATTGAAAAGAACATCAATTAAAGAAATGATAATTATGAGGGTATGCAAAAAGTCTTATATTCATTTTATTCCATTAATACTATTACCAGGCTTCTTGGTAAATCCTGATGTCTAGAGTTGAGGGGTTTGAGGTTCGAATCCCAGCCTGGCCATTACTATGTTTGCACTTCTGTTACATTACTAGAGTATTGCATTAAATTGTTGAGGGTATAGGTCTCTGGCATGGACCATTGATATAAGAAATCTCCATCATTACTAAAAACAGAGACCTATTTTAATATGTCTGCTGAAGCTTATTATATACACATACATGATTTTGTATATATGATACATAAGACCACATATATATTGCTATATTGATCATGAATAAATAACCATCAAACATAAAGACCATGTTTTGATTATTTGTTTCATATTTTGTCAGGTCATTCTTTTGACAAAGTGCCGTGTTTGAGTTTGTTGAAATAAAGCATGCGTCGGGCTCTAAAGTAATGAAGATTCTGTGAAACCCAGAAGATATCGTAATGGGTAGTATGGATCAATTTGGAGGCAAAAAGTAAAGGGAACGTAAGATACAGTGCACAACCTTTCCATTGACGCGAAAATAATTTACATAGTCATTTCAGTACAAAACATGAGAGCCGTCATGGGCTGTATATCCCCTCCGAAAATGAGGCGAGCTATGTTGTGATTGAGTGACTTGACCAGAAATCTGTCCAATCTTTTATGTGGACATGCTAAGTACTCATGTTTAGCCCACCATCATCTTATGGTGGGCTATTCAAATCATCCTGCGTCCGTGGTCCGTCCTTAAACAATTCTTGTTATCGCTATTTCTCGGGAAGTACCAAAGGATGTTTCTCAAATTTTATATGTAGGTTCCCCTTGGTCCCATATTGTGCAGGGCAACTTTTGAGACTGATTGGTTAAACAAAATGGCCGACAGGCAGCCATCTTGGAGTTTGACAGTGAAGGTTTGTTATGACTATTACTCAGTAGGAAGTACTGGAGAGATCTTTCTTAATTTTTAGGTCACCTGAGACAAAGTCTCAAGTGACCTATTGCGATCGCCTTTTGTCC